CTCTGCGACCAAGAAACTATTTCTGCTGTGCAAACAGCGAGCTCGCATGCTCTACACGAGAGCTTCTTAATATTTTTAGATATTCTGGAAACATCTGTTCAGCTTTTTACTTTCTTGGGTGTTTGTCTCAACTGAACTCGAGTTGTAGACGAGCAAGGAGCTGTCCTGCACATTTTTATGAAACCGCGCACCCTTGCGCGCGCTGAATGCAAGATTGCCGCGCTCGTGCCATCCACATATACATTTATGACCAGGAAGTTTTACGAGTTCCCGGTGGCCGCTCCTCCTGCGGTGTTCGCATAGGCTGGGTCATTGACATATTTGTGCTCCCTCGCCCTGCTCTCGATCTCTGTCATGGCGTTTGGCTATGCGACATAGCTTCCGAGGCTGCCGCCATCCCGCCCTCCTGCACTGTCTGTCAAGCTGAGCTTTTGGCCAGCAAGCGCCTCGCTGAAGGTGTTGAGCACCTGCTCCTCTGCTGCGGACCTGAATCCTGAGCGGGGACTCCTCTTCCCTGTGGGCTCCGAGCAAAGCAAAAACCAAGTTTGACGGCTTACCGCCGGCTTCCAGTTGGCCCACCCGGCCCGGGCGCACAATGTGACGACCTGGGTCCGGCTTTATTGAAAATTCTGAGAGATTTGGCCATTCGTTTTGAGAGCTCGTATTTTCCGCACGTGTAGTGGATTCTGCCGCGTCTGCTTGTCGAATTCTCATGTCCGTACCTGTAATAGTATTGTCAAAAGACGTGGTGGAACCGACGTCGTCTAAAACTTAAACATACATTCTGCGAGTTTTCAAGCTTACATTCAAGGAAGCTTCGTCCGTTCAATCAGAGAACTTTTTTGCGTGTTAAGAGCTCTACGACGGTTCTGGCGGAACCTGCCTGGTTCACGGTTTACCGCCGGCCCCCATGCCTCGTGGGGCTCTTCGGCACCGATGAGCTAGAGAAATTTCGGCGCGGAGTGGAGCCAGTTGGCCCGGCCCGGGCGGGCAATGTGGAACCCTGCGTAGAGCTCTTCGGCGTCGATGGGCTAGAGGAATTCCGGCGCGGCGTGGGGCAAGTTTGCCCACCGGGCCCGTGCGGGCACTGGGACGACCTGGGGTCGGTATTTGGGAGATTGCGAGAGATTGGACCAGTAGCTTTCAGCTTCCAGTTCTTTATTCTTTGGGCTGTAGCCGCAGCGCAGCTCTCGAAAATTAGAAGGAGACGTCGGCCGTTTCCCAGATGATAATGGTTTCGTGAACTGAACTGAAGAAGAAAGCAAGCTACACAGCTCTAGAATCCTCTGCACCTGTAGTAGGTTATGACGCGTCAGCCCGTCGAATTTTCAGGTCCGAAGTTGCAGTGTTACTATCGAAGCACTTGGCGGAACCAATTTCGTATAATACTGAGCAAGTATATATATATATATATATATATATATATATATATATATATATGTTCGTGTTTTTAAGCTGAGATTGAAGTGAGCTCTCTCGTCGTATTCTCAGTGCTACTTTGCGTGTTAAGAGCTCTGCGAGGGTCCTATGGCTCGGCACTTCTCAATCCAGATGCCCACTTTCGGCACTGTTCACTTTTCGGCCTCGTTTGGAGTGCGTGACGTTGCGTGACAACGTGACGGGGCCCCCTATGTGGGGCCGCACAGGCGCGTGTCTGGAGATGGTTTCGGGGCGGTTTTGCCGCTGCGAATCGTCTCTCTGGAGTGTTTTTCTTTGGTGATGCCTGCGCCCACGGGCTCGGCAGGCCCTTGATGCAGATGCCTCAGACATCCTGGCTCGGCAGTGTTGCTGTTTTTCTTGGCCCTTCCGAGCCCGCTCGCTGCCCTGTGAGGGCCTGGCCGCGAGACCGCAAACAGCAAAAAACCTTGTTAACGGTCAACCGCCGGCTTCCAGTTGGGTCGGCTGGGCGAACATTCTGAGAGATTTGCCATTTCGTGTTCGGAACCCAGATTTGCATTCCTGTAGTATCATGGCGCGTTCGACGGTGGAATTTTCAGGGCTGTAGCTGCAGCGCAGCTCTCGAACATTTGGGGAATCGTTGGCCGTCGGGATGCATGTTCCTAGATAGTAATGGTGTCGTGAACTTGACTCGCAGGAAGCAAGCTACATAACTCCAGTTTTTTTTTGCATTTGTAGTAGGTTATGGCGCGTTGGCTTGCTCATGTCCGTTGCTGTAGTATAACTATCAAAGACTTTGGCGGAACCATCTTTATAGACATCAGATTTTGTTTTGCGAGTTTCGAGCTGATATTGAAGGAATCTGTCACGTCGAATTCTCAACACTACTTCGCGTGTCAAGAGCTCTACGAGGGTCCCGGCGGCAACCGGCGGTCACAGGGGATGGCTGCACCAACCCGACCGCCCTTGTAGGGCCCTGTGGTCGGACCGCAAACCGCAAAAAAAACCAGGTTAACGGTTGCGCGCCGGCTCCCAGTTGGCCCACCCGGCCCCAGCGGACAATGTGTCAACCTGGGGTCGGTTTTTTGAAAATTGTGAGAGATTTGAGAGTTTGTTTTGAAAACCTGTATTTATTTCACGTGTAGTGGGTTATGCCGCGTCTGTCTGTCAAATTCCCAGCTCTATTACTGCCAGAAGACGTGGAGGAACTGACGTCGCATAAAACTGGGGAACATACATTCTGCGAGTTTTCAAGCTGACATTCGAAAACGCTTTCTCCTCGTAATCAAATTTGCGAGTTAAGAGCTCTACGAGGGTCCTGGCGGTAACCTGGTTCACGGTTTACCGCCGGCTCCCAGTTGGCCCACTTGGCCTGGGCGGACAATGTGGCAACCTGGGGTCGTTTTTTTTTGCAGATTGCCAGAGATTTGAAAGTTCGTTTTGAGAATCCAGATTTTCATTCCTTGCAGTAGATCATAGCGCGTTTCATGGTGAAACTTTCAGGGCTGTAGCTGCAGCGCAGCTGTCGAAAATTATGAGGGACCGGCGACCGTCGGGATGCATTTTCCCAGATAGTAATAGTTTCGTGAACTTAACTTAAGCAGGAAGCGAGCTACAGAACTCCGGTATTTTCTGCACTTCTAGTAGGTTATGACGGAGAGGCGGAGGATGGAAAAACGAGGAGGAGGGGGAGGAGGATGAGGAGGAGGAGGAGAAGGAAAAGGAGGAGGAGGAGGAGGAGGAGGAGGAGGAGGAGGAGGAGGAGGGAGGGGATGAGTAGGAGGAAGAGGAGGAAGACCAGGACGAGGAGGAGGAGGTGGAGGAGGAGGAGGAGGAGGAGGAGGACGAGGGGGACGAGGACGAAAGGGAGGAAAAAGAGGAGGACGAGAACGATGACGAGGTCAAGGACGATGAAAAAAACGAGGACGAGGACGAGACCGGGGTCGAAAACGAGGACGAAGAGGACGACGAGGACGAAGACGAGGATGATGTGGAGGAGGGGAAGGACGAGGAAGAGGAGGACCAGGAGGAGGACGAGGAGGAGGAGGACGAGGACGAGGAGGACGAGGAGGAGGAGGGGCCCCGCCTCCCATTATATCATTACTCTTAACATTATCTTTGTCAGAAGAACAGTACGGATCACAGCAATATCCACAATTATGTGAGGCATTTTCAATACTATTTGTTAGTAACCACGTAAGAAATATTCATCTGATAGTAATACTATACTAGTCGTACTCATTATCACAGCAATAACAATAATACGCCATACGAAGACGCAACATGAGCTGACTACGAAGTAGAAGGGTGCGAATACTATGTACTGATACATTGTATTTTCATAATATGCATGCTCATAATACGACTAGTAGACGTGTTGCTAGTAAGAGGATTCATAACATGGGTCATACGAAAATACAAATCATAAGGCACATCGTAATAATAGCAATCCGACGAAACAGACAAGTAACACGATTAAACATAAGATTAAGCAGGCCACTGCCAATACGAAGAACAAAAACACCATGAAGTATATTATAAATCAGCGTGCTATTCATAGTAATGAGATGAGTATACGTAGTACTACTAAGAGTACAACGCATGAGGCTAGTAATTATATGAAGACTGATCAGGAGAGGAACGGACGAATGAATACTCACACTGCTAGTGAGCATGCGAGTACTGGAAATAAAATAATTAAGACAATACTAAGCATATAATGTATACTAATATAACGACTAAGCCTGGTACGAAGGACGGTACTTATAGTTCATAGTACGACTATCACAGATCATAAACTATCATTACTAGTGTGAACCAGGACAATCATAAGATACACAGCATTCAGAATGAAAGGAATACGCATAGTCATATTATCGCTACCAGCACAAGCAATACGAATAAGACGAATGATACTAATATTAATATTGGGGATAAGTATAATCATAATCAGATCACCAAGAAGAAAGCGAATAACACGAACACGAAGACGAATACTCATAATATTCGTACAGGTAAGCATACGAGTCCTGATAATAACACTAACACGAAACACACTTGTACTTATACGAGTAGGAAGGAGCATACTATCAAGAAGAGCATTGCGGACGCTACTCATAATAATCATATTACGCAGCATATTAATCATACCAACAAGAAAAATAAGGCGACGAGTGATAATACTAATGCTGATACTATTACTACTACTACTACTACTTCTACTACTACTACTACTACTACAAATAATGCTAATCTTTTGAGGCACAGTACAAGTAATACTCATACTACTAGTACTACTACTACTACTACTACTACTACTACTACTACTACTACTACCACTACTACTACTTTTCGGAAGAAGAAGGAGGAGGAGGAGGTGTCCGCAGCGCTCTCCCAACACAGGACGTTTGGGAACAATTTCCATGTCGGCGCCCAGATCTCTGAGACGTCTTGTCGTCGTCGTCGTCGTTATCGCCGTAGTCGTCGTCGTCGTCGTCGTCGTCGTCGTCGTCGTCGTCGTCGTCGTCGTCGTCGTTGTCGTCGTCGTCGTCGTCGTCGTCACCGCCCATTCGCCCCGAAAAGGCCACTGCGGGCGACGCCGCAGCCTCTGAGGATCGAGCCGGGCCGGGTCCGCACCCTCCCGCATCCCATAGCCCTGCGGGAGCCCGTCATCGTTGTCGTCGTCGTCGTCCTCCTGCTCTTCCTCCTGGAGGTGAAGTGAAGAAGGGGAGGAGGAGCAGAAGGAGAAAGAGGAGGAGGAGAAGGAGGAAGAGGAAGAGGAAGAGGAGGAGGACGAGGAAAAGAACCATGAGGAGGAGTAAGAGAGGGAGGAGGGGAACAGGAGGGGGAGAATCGAAGGGCGAAGGAGGCGGAGGAGGGTGAGGAGGATAATGAAGAGGAGGCGGATGAGGAGGAGGAGGAGGACGGAACGTGGAGCAGGATACTGAAAAAGGGGACGAGGAGGGAACAGATGACGACGACTGATGATGATATTGATGCTGATGCTGCTGCTGCTGTTGCTGACGAGGATGACGAGGATGATGACGCTGATGACGATGATGCATATAAGGATGACTTAGGGCATGCTGACGATGCTGCTGCTGATGATGTTGATGATGATGGCGGACTTGATGGTAATGACGATGAGGACGATGGCGACGGCGACGGTGATGATGATGAGGACGACGACGATGATGATGATGATGCTGATGATGATGACGATGATGATGATGATGATGATGATGTCGATGATGATGACGACGATGATGATGATGGTGATGACGATGATGACGACGACAGTGGTGATGATGATGATGCTGATGACGATGACAATGATGACGATGCCGACAATGCTCGGGACTGTTGATGATCATGATGAAACCGAGATGGACGATGCTGAGGTGGACGAGGACGAGCGGGGTGATGGATCTATGACGCTGATGGTCATGCTGGTGCTGATGATGATGATGATTGTTGGTGGTGATGATGCTGCTGCTGATGATCATGATGGCGACGACGATGCTGCTGATGATGCTGATGATGACAATGATGACGATACTTACTCTGCTGATGATGATGATGGTGATGATGATAAGGATTTTTCTGAATACGATGATGATGCTGATGATGATGCTGATGATGATCGTGATTATGATTCTGAGTAAGATTATGATGCTGCTGATGATGAGGATGATCATGCTGCCCATGATGATTGTGTTGATGGTGGTTGTGGTGATGACGCTGATGCTGATGATGACGATGATCATGATGATTATGTTCAGGATGCTGACGATGCTGATGCTGGTGATGGTGATGGTGATGGCGCTGCTGTTTATGATGATGATGATGATGATGATGATGATGATGATGATGATGATGACGACGACGCTGATGATGATGATGCTGATGATGATGATGATGATGATGCTGATGATGAGGCGGACGATACTCACGGTGACGTTGCCGATACTGTCGATTGCGATGGTGACATGGATGCTGGTGGTGCTGATGATGATGATGGTGATGATGATGCTGATGATGATGATGATGATGATGATGATGATGATGATGATGATGATGATGATGATGATGATGATGGAAATGATGATGATGATGATGATGATGATGATGATGATGATGATGATGAGGATGATGATGATGATGATGGTGATGATGATGATGATGCTGATGATGATGATGTTGATGTTGATGTTGATGATGATGGTTGTGGCGGTGCTGCTGATGGTGACGAGCAGGAAGAGGATGTAGAGGAGGAGTAGGAGGAGGAAGAGGAGGAGCTGGAGGATGCTGAATCGTAACATTTGGACAGCGTCGGCATGGTGCAGAGGGCAACCACCAGGAGGTGGAGAAGGAGGAGAAGGATAGAGGAGGAGGAGGCGGATGACGGTGGAGGGGAACGAAGACGAGGGTGACAGAGGAGATGGGGCGGAGGAGCCTCAGAATGCGTATCACTAGGGCAGGACGGGGGGGAAGGAGGAGGAAGGACAGGAGATGCAGGATGAGGATAATGATGCAAAGGAGGATGATAAGAATGATGATGGGGGCTTGTGGACGGCACCCGATGTAAGAATGGTCCTGAGCTGTTTGAGTGCCCACCCCCACACAACGGCTGACAAGTCACGGCCTGTCTACTATGTCTTGTCATGATAGGGTTGCCCCAGCGCGAGATCTGTAGCGACACCGTGCGAGTTTGGGTCGGATACGCCGAGCTGCGCGAGCTCTATGCTCGCGCCTCTAATTTCAAGGAGGCGCAGTAACATGGCAGAGTGCACGGAGGTCGACTGAGTAGAAATGGGCGCTGTCAGCGCGATGATGACAACGATAATTCGCATGATGACGAGCAAGATGAGGACGAGCATGAGCATGATGATGAGTGTTATCTCATGGCCCTCGGCCCATCCCGCTGGGGCCCTCTGGGGATCCTGGGCCTCGTGAGTGGTGCCCTGGAGGCCGTCAGGGCCGCCTCGAGAATCCTGGGGGTACCTTCGGCCAGGGGCACATCCAGCAACACCCGACAAGCCCTCCTTCTCCTCCTCCTCCTGCTCCTCCTCCTCCTCCTCCCCTTCCTCCTTCTCCTCTTCCTCCTCCTTTTCCTCCTCCTCCTCCTCCTCCACTTCCTCCTCCTCCTCCTCCTCTTCCTCCTCCTCCTCGTCCTCCTCCTTCTCCTCCGCCTCCGCCTCCGCCTCCGCCTCCGCCTCCGCCTTCTCCTCCTCCTCTTCCTCCTCCTCCTCTTCCTCCTGCTCCTCCTCCTTTTCCTCATCCTCCTCGTCCTCGTCCCCCTTCGCTCCTCCTCCTCCTCCTCCTCTTCCTCCTCGTCCTCGTCCTCGTCCTCGTCCTCGTCCTTTTCCTCTCGCGCTCCTTCCCTGCCGCCCTTCGTGCGCTTCTTCTCTCACGCTTCCCCTCATGAGGGCAAGAAAACCCTCCACCAGAGCTCCACAGAATTCCGTTCCTCAAGGCCTCCCCCCCGAGCTGGTGGCACTCCGTTCCGGGCACTCTGCGGGCGCGCCCGGAACGGGGTGCTACCAGCTCGGGGGGGGGGAGCGGCCAGCCCTCCTAGCTTGTGGTGGTGGTGGTTCTTTCTTTCCTGGTGATCCCCCCCTTCTTCCCCATCTTCCTTCCCGCCACTCGCGGGTGTTCGCCACTCACGGGTGTTCGCCCCGAGGCCCTTCGGTGTGATGCTCGAGCGGCCGCTGTACAGATGGAGCTTGGCCTGGTCCGACTCTGCTCCGGGGAGGGGGGGTGCAAGGATCAATGATGATAGAGGTGGTGCTGACGTTGCTGGTGCTATTGATGGTGGTGATGCTGATGATGGCCAGGATTCCCCGTCCTTGCTTGCGTGTTGGGGTATTTCGGACTGATTGGAAGCGTGACGAGTGTGCCGCAAGCGGCGGGAGCAGACGTTGAACGATTTGACGTGTTTCTCTCTGCCGCGGCGGGCACACTGGGCCCTCGTGTCCTCTTGGGGCTTTCTCGGGGCAGGGTCGCCGCTGTGTGCGGAGTGCGGAGGAGGAGGAAGGAGCTGGAGGGGCAGGAGTCGGGAGGGAGGGAGGAGTGGGATGAGTGGGAGGAGCATGACGAGATGGTGGGGAGAGGTGGGCGAAAAAGAGGATGTCGGAAGACAAAGGAGACGACGACGACGATGACGACGACGCCGCCGACGACGACGATGACGACGGCTGCGGCAGCGACGACGGCGACGATGACCACGAGTCAACCACAGAAGCCATCGTGAATCTTTCGCTCTGCAAGCTTATTTGATACCTGTTGGAGCCGTCTTTGCGCCATTTCGGAAGCCTTTTAGGCCCAGTGGGGGGCCATGCAGAGGGAGGGGTAATCCCCTTCCCCGATTATGGGAAGGCGCTGCGTTGATTCTTGCCGGGGGTGCAGAAGAGAAGCGGGAACATTTTAAAAAATCACTCAGCACATGCTCCCATACCGCGGCGGTTATATTGGGCCGCGTTGGCTTTTTGTTCTTCCTGTCCTCGCCAACAGAGGACCACAGCGGGTCTTCGGTTGTGAGTTCCTCTGGGAACCAGCTTGGGTTCTTCTTGGGGTGATCAGGCGGGTTGCCCAGATCTGGGAATGGTAGTTGGAAGCATGCAGTGGAATATTCGCCCAGAAGGCTCCGTGGGGAAACGAAACCTACCTGCGACGGGAGAACCCAGGCACAGGCGCATCCACGTCGGCCAGAACCACTGTCCCCGCGATGTGTTTTACGAACCTCGTACAAAAACAACTCCTGGGACCATCTTGGGAGTCGAAGGAGAAGGAGGAGGAGGAGGAGGAAGAGGAGGAGCAGGAGGAGGAGGAGAAGGATAATGGAGGAGGAGGAAGAAGAGGAGGGACAACAAGGAGGATGGACGTGGAACATGGAGGACGAGAAGGAGGAAGAGAAGGAGGATGAGGATAAGGAGAAGGAGGTGGAGGAGGAGCAGCAGCATGAAGGAGACGAGCGGGAAACTAGGAAGGAGGAGGAGGCGGAGGAGGAGGAGGCAGGAAGGCAGGAAGGCAGGAAGGAAGGAAGGAAGGAAAGCACGAGGACAAGGAGTATGAGGATGTGACCTCTGCGGATATTTTTTTGTGGAGGGTTCTTGAAAGACTCCTGGAGCCATCTTGGAGCCCTTTTGGAGCCTCCGTAAGGTCTCTTGGAGCCTTCTTGGGGTCCTCTTTCGGCTCCTTTGCGGGGTTGTGGTGCCTTCTTGGGGCTTTTTCGTGGGGTCTGGGATGCCTTTCGGAGCAAACTTGTGGCCCCATGGTTCAACAACAGGAGAGCAGCGTCAATTCAGATCCCCCCCAGAGGTTGAATACGCGCCATTTGGATCCTTCTTTGGGCGCTCTTGGGGCCGTCTTGTGGCCCTCTTGGGCCCTTCCGGAGGTTGTCTTGGCCCATCTTGGGGCCACATGAAGGCTTCAGAGCCGATCGGACGCGCAAAGGCGAGAAGACAACACGCATGGGATTTCCGTGTTTTGGCCTCTTGATGTGTACTTTGGAATACACGGAGAGCACTTGGAACCGTCTTGGAGCGGTTTTGGGGCCTCTGGGAGTCCACCTTTCGCAGGTATGTCACAAGCGCCATCCTGCGCCCTCTGAGGCCTTCTTGGAGCAATCTTGGGGCATCTTGGACGCTTTAGCTGCTCTGACCCCCCCCGTCCAGACCCAGGGGAGGTGGTAGGGGGATGGTCAAGGTACCTCCTGCCCACAAGGTGCACGCCGTTGCGCTCACTCTCACCCGCCCTCCCAACACTTAGTAGCACCCAAGTGTCCTTGCCAAAAACCCATGCAAAGTGGTCGCGGGGCGCTTGTGCATGCTCCAGAGTTGCATTGAAGTAGCACTCGAGCATCCTTGTCAACAACTAATGCACAGTGGTCGCGTGGCGCCCGTGTATGCTCCAGTTTTGGAGGCAACGTGTATTTTGCATTGTGATTTGACATGGGTGGTTGGCCCGCGAGCAGCGAGCGATATGACGGCACCCCCTCCGTACTTTTGAAAAACTAATACGAAGTGGTCGCGGGGCGCCCGCGCAAGTTCCATACATGGAACCAAAGTGTAATATGTGTTGCTTGGCTGATAGGGATGGTTGGCCCGCGGGCAGCAAGCAACATGAGGGCACCCCCGCCTGGGGTCAAACACCGATGCAAAGCGGTCGCGGAGCGCCCACGCATGCTCCTGATCTGGAGGCACCTTTCACATTATTTGCTTTTTTGACAGGGGTGGTGCGTGCATCTGTGTGTGTGCCCACCAGAGAGGACTTCCTCGATGGTGGCGGGGATCAGTCCGCCCCCGCTTGCGACGCCCCCGATGCCCGGCTGCGCCTCGACGAGGCCTACGCCCCCGGCCCCCTCGCCTGGCACCTTCCCTCGGGCTGCCCGCCCGGCGAAGCAGGCCCCGACCGGCGATTTTCGCTTGGTGCCGAGGTCGCTTTTGTTTGGCGCTTTGGGATTCATTTCTGATATGGTGGGATGTATTGTCATGATTGCTCTTCCTGTTGATCCTTGTTGATGCTGACGTCTTTTCATGTTCTGTCGATCCTGTTGATGCAGTTGGCGATCTCTTTCGATGACTTGCTGGTCTGCTGATAGTTTTTTTTTGGGGGGGGGGGGCTCGTTATTCTCTTGTGACCCTCTGGTCGCCGAGCGCCGCCCGCGGCCTGCCCCCCTCCTGGGCTCCCCCCTGCAGGGCGTGCCGGGCCCGCCCTCGGCCCAGAGCCCCCGCCGCTCCCTCTTCCGCATCCTCCCCGTCCTCGTCCTCAGCTGCAGTCGACCCGCAGAGTAAGGGTAGGCATCCCTACCAAGGGTACCCTTGCATCCTTGCCTCCTGGGTCCGTCCTTGGACACTTTCCTTGGCCGCGCCCCGCTCGAAACGCTTCGAGATGGGCGTCCAAGGTCCTTGCATCCTTCTCGCGCATCCTCACTCTGCGGTTTGACTGTACGCGCAGAGGGGGATGGGGGAGGGGGGCGGCTTCTTAGAAACACCCCTGCTTCTTGGAGGGCGCGGACCTTATCTATAGACGTGGGGCCGGCGCCTTCGAAGAAGCAGCCTCCTTCTAAAGAGCCCTCGCCCCTCCCTACACCCCCTCGTGCGCGCCGCCAACGTCCGTCTGAGCGCATGGTTGTGCGCGTGCTGCCCGCTCGCGGTGTCCACCGCGCTGTTGGGAAAACAAGTGCGCTGGCAGCCTCGACTATGGAGTCGTCTGCACAATTCGGTGGTTGGATGGGGTTTTGGAAGGTGGAGCGTGGTAGTGATGAAATCCATTGCCGTTTCAGTTCGAGCGGAGAGCTGAGTCCATGTAAAGCCCAGTGTTCCCTGACGAGGGGAACACGCGTTCCACGAGAGTGGAATCGTCGTGATCGGTCAGAGACAGGAGTTGTCCGCTCTCAGAGGCATGCTGGCTTCACCCACGCGTCTTCACCTCCCAGGCGGGGCTTGCGTGTAGCTCATCGACTAGGCTTCTGGAGGCCACGGCCTACCCACCAGGTCCCAGGTCGGCCTGGACCTTTGTCCGCAATGGTGGCTCGCTTCGCTTCGCCCCCCCCCTGGGGGGCCACCCTGGGAGGCTCGCCCTGGAGGGGTCGCCCTGGGGGGGTCGCCCCCCTGGGGGGCCGCCCTGGGGGACTCGCCGCACCGCCCTCGGCCCGCCCCCTCCTCGCCCCTCCGCCGGCCCTCCTCGCGCTGCGACCGGAGTCACGGCGGAAGCTCTGCGCTCTTCTCGGCCTCCGGAGCCCCTCTGGGGCCCCCTAAGGGCCGTCAGAGAACATGATGATGACGATGATGCTGATGATGATGCTGCTGCTGATGATGACGATGATGACGATGATGATGCTGATGATGATGCTGATGATGATGATGATGATGATGATGATGATGATGATGTTGATCATGCTGATATTGATGATGATGATGATGATGATGATGATCATGATGATGACGATGGCAATGATGATTATAATGATCATGTTGATGACGATTCTGATACTGATGGTGATGATGATGATGACGCTGACGACGATGATGATGATGTTGATGAAGATGATGATGATTATAGATATTATAAAGCTGATGATGACGATGCTGATGATTATGATGATTGTGATGATAATGATGATGATGATGCTGCTGATGATGATGGTGATGATGATGATACAGATCATAAATATGATGACGATGATGAGGATTATGATGATGATTATGCTGCTGATGATGATGATGATGATGATCACGATGATGATGATGATGATGATGATGATGATGATGATGATGATGATGCTGATGCTGATGCTGATGCTGATGCTGATGCTGATGATGAATATGATGATGATGATGATGATGATGATGATGATGAAGAATAATAACCTGATGACGATGATGATGATGATGATGATGATGATGATGATGATGATGATGATGATGATGATGATGATGCTGATGATGTGATGATGATGATGATGATGATGGATGATGATGATGCTGATGATGATGATGATGATGATGGTGATGATGATGCTGATGCTGATCTTGATGCTGCTGATGATGATGATGCTGATGATGATGATGGTCGTGGTGGTGATGGTGGTGGTGATGATGATGATGCTGATGATGATGATGATGATGATGATGATGATGATGATGCTGAATGATGCTGCTGGATGATGATGATGATGATGATGATGATGATGATGATGATGATGATGATGATGATGATGATGATGACGAC